CGGGCGGCGAAGTCTGCGGCGGGGTCCGCTAAGGCTTGGTTGAGCAACGGGGCGAGGGCGAGTGGGGTCTGGGAGAGGAGAAGCGTGGAGTCGAGCAGGACGGCGCAGTAGAAGAGTGCGCCGGCGAGGGCGTCGCGCCGGTTGGGGCTGCGCGACAGGGAGGCGACGAACACGGCGGAAGCGCAGACAGCGAGAAGGCCTCCAGCAAAGGCGGCAGGGTGGCGAGAAGCGGTGGGGCGACGGCGAGGTGGCAAGCAGTGGCGGGGCTACATCGAGGTAGCGCGCCGAGGGGGCTGTCGAGTAGAGCGGACAAGACGACAGGAAGACCAGGGGCGGCCGTGAGGTGGACGAGCTTGGCGTTGAGGAGCGGAGGGAGCAAGGGCCGCGAGAGCAGTTAGAGGTAGATTGGCACTGCCAGTGTGAGGAGGCCGGCGAGGGCGAACGGAGCAGTAGCTGCGTTGCACTCGCATGAATTCTCGATGGTCGTGTTTCTTCGACCCGCTCACCCGCGCCCTCACCACGTCTGACACACAAATCGCGGGCTACCAGTCTCTTAGACATTGCATGTGCCCCTTTCACAGGCGCGTTGCTGCTCGCTCCCGTAGTTGCTAAAGCAATTTGCGCCGCGTCCTGTCGTTGGTGCACCAATGCTGCCTTCTTAGCGTGTAATCCCGGCGCGATACCGCTTTCCCGTCCACAACGTCTTGCAGAGGCGGTGTGTGAGCAAAGATAATCTGCCCGTTCACATAATCTTTTAGCATTACACGCGTCGATCGGCTCTGATCGGGCTTGTTATGGTCGCTCATGAACCTGCGCGCTCGTGCTTGAGTAGAGGGTTTACGCAAAAAATGATTTCGTTAGTGTCGCAACAGGGCATCCGTGTCGGTGTAAACCCCGGGGTTTAGGTTTCCGGTATTGGTTGACGGCAGTTAAGCAATACCGGAAACCTAATACCATATACGCCTTCAAAGATGGATGCTGGGATTCGGGCTGCAATATGCAATACAGGAAACAGGTATTCGCCACGCATCTGATCAATAAAAAGCACGCCGCACAGATCAGCTCTGACTTTGAAGACGAGAAATTGGGAAACACAAGCCCAGGACAATCGCATTATAGCACTTTCTTCGTCAAGACAAAGCGTTTAGAAATGTTTTGTTTGACCCAGAGTAGAGGAAACTGCCACTCGCTTGGCCTGATTTGAACTAGCGTCGGCGCCTTCCGTATGCTCGGTACTAGCAGATGATTGCATGTCACCATCGTGCTGTGCATAGCCCTGTGAATCCTCTTTCGCTTCGCTGCTGGCGATAAATTCAACAAGAACGTTGATCGTGGAGGCTTTTACAACGTTTGGGTAGCCACACATCCCCACGACGGGCCTTTGATTCGGTTGTGTGATTGGGGCCTTGTGCTCAAAACTCTGCAACTTTTCAATGGAGTCGTGAACACCAACGACTCGAGAATCGCTTACAGGTTCATTTACGCTAGCTTTGAATGCGGAAAAGAAGATAACATTCATGCCCTGAGCCTTGAAGTAGGCTTCCCAGCGATCGATCGGTTTGAGAAAAGATAAGACTTGTTAAGGACGAGCAGATGTGAACGGCCCATCTCGGTAGTTACATACCGGCACATATCCTCGCAGTAATACAAAAGCGGGTTTCTCGCATCCACAATCTGTACAACCATGTCTGAGCACTCGACAACACGCCAACCTGTCTCACTACAACTATAACTTCAATATTCTTTTCAAATAGAGTCATCACGGGGCCAGAGACGGATGAAGAGAGCCTGTTTTCTTCCTCAAGCGTGGCGATTTTTCTCCTCCACCTCAAAAACATGTCCATCTCTTTTGCCAACTGAGCTGACGTCGTAGTTGAGTCCTAAGGAGGCTTAAGTCGTATTCTTAATACTGTTTTGTTGAGGAGATTCCGTTTCTGCGGATTGTGACTCGCCGATGCCGTGTTTTGGTGAAGCGGAGTCATCACAACAGTCTGAGGTGCAAGGGGTTGTGGATATCGCTCTGCAGTAAAATCTTCATTGGCCATGGTCGCGTTGAGCATGAAATCCTCCAACTCAGTGGCATCGAGCACAGTAGAGCACACGAGACAGCAGGAAGACTGGGGGTGGCCGTGAGATGGACGATCTTGGCATTGAGGAGCGGCCGGAGCGGGGGTCACGAGAGGAGGAAGAATTTGATCGGCAGCGTTAGGGCGTGGAGGTGCGGGAGTGGGAGGTCTGGGAGGGCGGCGGTGGCGGCGAACGCGGCGGGAGGGGAGGACGGCGGGGAAAACGCGGCCAGCAGAAGCAGCAGGGTGGCAAGAAGTGTCGGAGCGACGGCGAGAAAGCGCCAGTCGGGTGCCGCCGAGTAGCAAACTGTTCAGAAACAACTTCAGAAATGTTGCACTATCGCACTGGAAGGAACGGGACGCATTAGTCCACGGGTCTTAACAACTTCCACCATCCTTTCTCTCTTCCATGACACAGAGGAAGAACGATATTCCGCTCCATTATCTTGTTCTTTTAAAATATTACGCATATCTTCCTTTGCTTGAGCGTACCAATCCTCACTCTGGACTGCAACACGATCGAATGTTTCAATACTTCGAATTGGTTTTGGAATCTCCTCCTCATCTATGACAAAATTATGGAGCTTCCTCGCATTAAGAACAATATGGATATTAGTCTCGACAATGAAGCAAAAATCTTGGAGAATTCTCCACTTTGCCATCAGCATTCCAAATGCTTGTTCTACATGCATTCGCAAGGAAGAATGCCAAAAATTAAATGAGTCCTGCCAATCTGTTGCCTGTGATGCTGGATATGGCGTTATTAAAGACTCTGTGCAGATATATGCTTCATCTCCAGCAATCCAAAACGCGTAGTGTAGTAGACCAGCCATCAAATATTCTCCCAAACTTGAAACCGCGTGCGTTAAGGAGTCGTGCGTGCTTCCTACGCATTTTGCCGAAAAACACAAAACCGATAGTTTGAATCAACAATTGCTTGCACTGGGATAGCGTAGTAATGTTTCCTGCACCAATATGCCGCCAGATTCAGATCAGTTTCGGGCTTTCTTACCTTGATGGAAATTCTATGTAGGGCTCCCACGCAGCTGGAAAGGGGGCTTTCAGGCCTTCGAGAAACTGTCAGGGCCTCTGCAGATTGGCTTAATGCCGTGTTATCCTTCGAAAGTCCTAGTAAACATAAAACCGACATAATAGCGTGACAAGTGTCCTTAAAGACCTGGTAAAGGGTGCTCTTGGGTGTGTTCTATACAGATATTATATCCACGTAACTAGCTCCGCCCAACAGCCTCAAAGTTACCGCAAGAAGTATTGCGGGACTGACAATTTTCCTTCCTGCCCTTTTAGCCATTTCTCAATGTCTTTGCAGATGCGGCTTTAACATCTTGAGCAGCTTGTAGAATGAGTCTCTCGACATTTGGAAACAACGGCGAAAAAATGTCTCATCATAATACTTGGTCACCTCTTCAAACGATTTTCTTTCTCCAAATGTTGGAGAATTAGCAACTCTATGGTACTTAGTTTTGCAAGAGTGACAGGACAATTTTGCGTCAGTGTAGCAATGATTGATACGACACTTGCAACCAAAACTATTTTCTTCTTCTGCAGCTTCGCGCGAACTAGAAAGTGAGATGAAATAGTTAAGTGATGGGAAACGTGTGACCTAGAGGAAGAGAAGGCCAAAACAGAATGCCGCACAACATTATTATCGCACAAGATAGAATGGATTGCAATGGGCATGATTGCATCGTCTGTTCAACGACCGTAGACCTTCTTTTGATCTCGAATAGATCACGGCCGTCCGCTCTGATCCGAATTCAACATAGCACTGCTCGGTAGATTGTTACTAACACTGTACAGAGACCTCTTGTAAGAACCAAATGTTTCCTACAGCACGGAAAAATCCTTTCCCAGAAAAGTACGTCACATCCTGCACCGACCGCTTAGATATCCCTCGAAGCAAATGGTTGTGATGGCGTGCAGAAGCTGAAAGAGAAGAATGATTGCACTACCCCATCATGGAAGACCGAGAGCGGGTTTAGGTATGAGGGAATGCGAGGAGTGGGTGAGGATAGGGGGGATAGTTGCTGAAATATCGAGGGGAGACTTGACCTTGTGTTGAACCACAGGGAAGGAAGAGGTTTTCTTGGTACTGTACTTTCAAGGTTTTGTTACGAGATAGACCTGGGATGGGTATCGTCCTGGCCATGAGGATCCGGATCTGGATGGGCGAGCTGTGACTTCTACTACTTACAGTAGAGAGGGCACAGTGTCAAATACATTTTTTGAATATTCTAAGAAAATCGGTATGATAGCGGTGGTGTCGGGCAAGAAATTCGCTCGGTTAAGACCGGGGGTGACCCCCGGTCGTTACATGGTGATCCGTGGACACCTGCCCATTCGTGGTCATGACTGTGGCGTATTTTGCCCTCTGAGTGCTCATGGCTATGGAATCTCGAAAACGATAATTTTTATAGACGGCGCATTTGTCTGTAGTGGTATGATAGTGTAGTATGCATACGGACTTGGGCTCGGTAATTGGACTAGGACTCTTTGGAATGAGTTCCATTCATCGTTGCGGTTTTCTCGCTATACATGTAGCACAGTTATACGACAGTGTGAGAATCACGTTACAGTATGTGCCACAAAATGACTTCTGGAATGGTGCATGTTACATTAATCAGCTAGGCCTCATCATTTCTCAAAGTTGATATCTCAACGATGATAAAGTATTATTTACACCTTAATTCCGATTTAATGCATTGAATTTTGTCACCAGACTTTGGCTGGGTTTCGCTTTTGGTCAGGTGCTCTGAAGTCCGGGAGAATGTTCGAGCACTCAAAATGCTGTGAGCATTGACAGTAAGCCTTTGACGAGATCTATTTGATTGCAGAACCAATGACAAACAACGCTTTGCATATGCAGTGTCACAGAGCTTTGCAGGGGGCTTGCTCTTGGCTCGCGTGAACAGAGGATACACCCAATTTTTGTCTGTATTTAGCAGATATGTTCATTGTCCACTGTGCTTGAATTAAAATTCTATAATTCTAATACTACAGTGCACAAATACACACCTACGCCTTGAAGATATTCAACGGGATTTCGGAGGCCCTTATGTCTGTGTTTCGCAAGATGATATCGCGGAAAATCTTCGTTCGTTTGGAGAAAATCGGTCTGATTACGTTCGGCATGAACATTTGCAATACCCGAGCAATACTCTTTCTTCTCCTTAGATAGAAGAATTGGTCACCATCCCTCAGCCGAAGAAATTCAATTTCCCACACACGACGCATAGTCTCACCTAGTCCAGCCCTGCCAGATTTTCTTTCTGCCACGAGTCCCGGCCATGCTTCAATTTTGTCGACATCACCTTCGTACGCATTACTCAACTTATTTGCTGATGGTAGGTCGCCCGTAATCCCAATGAATGAGGTCGCCCTCGGCAACCCGAAAATCTCTCTGATTTGATTGTATGTTGGCAAAGCATGATCGCGTCCTCTTTGAATATTCAACGCGATGAGATCGAATCCCTCCTCACCTGAGACGAACTCGAAAAGCATGTTTCGAAGAATATCATGGACCTCGAGGTCTACTTCCTGGGCCTTGGTTCCAATAGCTCCTCTAAAGAGATTGTCCACTTCTTCTGTCTCTTGGAGACCGAATTCTTTGAAAAACACAGACTTCAAGGTCAGGGGAGGCAACGGGCCAAATCGTCCCCTTCGTGTCACCACGTTACCCACCATGGTATGGCCAACGCGAAAGGCTGCACCAGCAAATATGTCACTTACTGTGGGATTCACAGCCTGGCGATAACCCCTGTAACGACGAAACCTCCGACCGAAGATAGCGGGTAAGAATTCTTCATACACAATTTTCTGAAACTGGGCAATATTAATCTGACGGGCCCATTCAAAGATCGTGGACGTTGACAAGCGACGAACTCTGTCTTCTGGGAAGTTTACCCTGATCTCATCCACAAGGCGGTTGTGTTCCCGAACGAAAAGTGTGTGGATTGCGGTCAACATAGGATGCTCATTGGCACGGTGGTCGCCCGCAAGGTAGAAGCGCGCCGAAGCTGAGTTTGGTGCATTGTTGAAACCATCCGAATTGAAGGGAAGCAAATCCCCAAGGCTAACCTTCATCTTTCCAGTAAGCTCTCCTCTCGAATCCCGTTGCAACAGAAAACTATTTCGAGGATCGTTGACACCGTACACTGCAGAAAGGTCCAATGCTGAAGAAAGTGTGTTGATCGGCCTTTCGTTTGTTCCCTCGCCTGTGAAACCCCTTAGGGAGCGCTTGAAAGACATGCTACTGCCCGTAAACCTCGGGTCTCCTGCAGGAACGACAATGTCAAACTTCTCAATGTCCGAGGTGGGAGTTGCCACTAAATTGTGATCGATAAACTGGCCGAAGAAGACGAAGAGCTCGCTTATGCTCTTACTGTTGAAAATATCTGTGCGCTGATCACTGATTATGTTGGAGATTTCCCTGGCACTCTTCAGTCCAGTTCCAGTGGGAACATGGGATGTGTGGTCCCTGAGGTAGCTTAGCTGAGTTCTTTGGGCCTCAGCCCAGGTACTCTCGAAGGCCGATGTACATTGCCCAGATAGGGACCGAATGCGCTGGCGCCTGCAAGTGAGAGGCGGTGGAACGGGAGTGGGTCCGAGCTCTATGGGAGGGGGCGACTCAACACCGGGGAAGGGTCTACGTTCCGGTTGGACAGATGGTGCGGCACTGCGATTAGGGCTTGGAGAGGGCAAGGTTTCTGCTGGAGCAACTGGTGCCAGGAATTCCTGGTCTTCTCCATCGACGACCGGGGCTTGGGCGAGTGCAAACGGGACAAACGCGAGAAGGGCGCAGAGCCCGAAGAGAAGGCGGAGGAGAGACATGGCGCAGAGAAGATGGTAAGTGATGCCGCTGACTTCGTCGACTGGCTTTGCCTCAGCGGGAGAAGAATGTGTCGTGGTCGGCGGATGGTCTTGAGCGTGAGTGAGACGAGTTGACGGAAGACATTAAATAGTGCGCCGCGCTTACAATTCGTGAGAAGAGGGAGGGAGGAAACGGGGTAAGCTATCTGGTTGACAGAGGTGTATGTATGGGATCTTGTTGTAAAAGAAAGGCGCTGTTCTGCGGGCATATACAGACCTCGCGTGGCGATAGTTTTCATAAATGGAAGGGGCCATAGACTGTATCTATCTTAGGTGTTGGCGGTCTGGAGAGGGGTATGAGTTACCCAGTGGAGCGAATTGGGGGGGTTTGAAAGTTCCAAACCTAGATGCATGTGCAGTCAGTAGTCTGATTTTGGATGATGGGGGTGGCGCGTGCTGAATGGATATGTAGTGTACGACACAGTACATGATTGAGGTGTTCGGAAAAAGGGGCTGCGTGTTGTAAACGGAAATGAATGATCCTCGTGCACATCAAGACATGGATATTTATCAGTACTGTACGCTACAGCATTGCTTGTCCAGGTATCAATAAGTGGGAGTGGGTGTTTTGGGCGGATTTGATTTTGCGCCAACTCTAAACTACTTGCGAGCGAGCAAAAAAAAAAAAAACGCCATTGCTGGCAAAGTGCTGGTGAAGCCCTCTTTCTGGACAGGTCTGTTAATTTTGGTTAGCACAGTGGAATGGAATGACGATGGTGATGGATGAGATGGTGATGGATGAAAGCCTCACGAACAGGGGGGTGCAGGGGTGTGAGGTGTGATTACATCATGCGGGGTATGAAAGGGAGGGGTAGGATATAACCTGCGTGAGGGGGGGGGGGGGGAAACCACGGGATTGGCGAAGAGCCCGCATGGATCTCTCGCGCTGGTGCTTATTTATTAAAATTTGTTTTTCAGTCGCAGATTGCAGATTGGAGAAGGGCGTCTCCCACCCGCTTACAACCCCAATGCGGCTCTGTCCTCTATTAACCGTAGTTGCAGTACTTGCGAAGACGGACTGCCCTCATAGTGACTGTTTTCCCTGCCGTGACTTACTCTACATACCAATAAATCTGTCAGCTTTCAGAGACCCACTGTACTGTAGTGCCCTGCATCGCACACCTCAACACTCTCTGTCTTTTATGTCTACAAGGGGAAACTCCCCAGAAGTGCACTCCTCCGAGATGTGCGCAGTTGAGAAGTGACAATGTGTATGGAGATAAAAGGGAAGGCAGCTTTTGTTTGTGCGTTACAATCATTCTATCCAGCTTTGAAATGTTCTCTGCACAATACAGTATGCGAATCTGCTTTTGGGGTCAATTCTATCACTAATATGCAAATTTTGCACACTGCAGGGCACACTTGACAGTGACGAACAAATTTATCACACCTTTTTTGCCTTCCGAATTCCAGCTACACTGCTCCCTACACATGCATAACTCAAGTGGGGCACTACTCAGGCCTCTCTCCGGGCCTCCTACAGTATTCAAACAGAGACACCATTGTGCTTGTCAAATCACTTGACTCCCGGCCTTCTGTATTCGGAAACGCCGCAACTCCCAACGTATCGAAATGTGTACAGCAGAGTGGAAAATCTTTTCTAAGATATCGTCCAGCCAGCACAACCAACATTCCTGAGCCAATCCTTACCACCGTGCAACCTGGCGGAGGGATACAGAACCTGCACACACCATCCGGCATGTGCGATTTATTCCGGTACACCACCCTCGCTCTACCCCATGGTACCCCAAGGTAACTTGCCCCACGGTAAAGCGAGGGTGGTGTACCGGAATAAATCGCACACTTACAGTATTTCACGTTCCGTATCGACATGTGAACATTGCCTCTTATCTCGATTCTGTACAGTAGCAACAACAACTGCGGCCTCGATCGTAAAGTCAAGACGACAATGCAGGATAGCACCAGTTGTCCCCATTATTCACGCTTACAGAGGAGCCTCTTCTGTACGCGGACTGTACCCGCATTGTGACCTACTGAACGTAAGTCCCCCACGTCTTCGGTTATCAACCCTCAACCTACTGTGTACCCTTCGATCTTTCCTGCCTGACTGGCGACAATGCACGCCCTTACTTCATCGGCCTCCACACCACTATTGTACCCTTGCGGCACGATTCTGCATTCCATGTTTGGGATTTATGTCGGCAGGGATCTGACCCTTTCGACGACATAGGTGAAACCGTTGCTGACACGCATGAATTTGGAGCAGCCCCACGTGATTGCGCAGAGTAGTGTGGGTGACATGCGGTCTGCACTGTGGGGTATCATCTTCGTCTTTAACTGTAGTCGGCAATGCATGGCCGGCGATCAGGAGAAAAAAAAAAAAAAACAGTCGAGCTTCAACCCTGCCGCCCTCAACTGTGGCCCTCTCTTTGTGCCGTCACTTCCGTGTCTCTGTCGACGGAGCATCGCAAAGAAATCGCAACTAAAACCTCGCATTGGCGAAGCATCGCTTGGCACGCAAGTTGAGGGTATCATCTGTGATCCTGGCAACAAGTGCCGCGCCCCACCTCTGCGCGTGAGGTACCCAAAGGTAGTTGTCCTACTCTTTTTGCGCCATTTCATTTGCGAAGCACATTTTCGCAAAACCCTACCTGCAATGTGACGGTTGCAGTATCAAAAATTGGCATTTGCAATGTACGGTAAGACTACGAGGATGAGAGGTGAGACAGACACAGAAATACCTCGCAGCGTGATCAATCATCCGGAGATCTCCGGATGATTGATCAGTCGATGCATAAAGACACACTTGCACAAAATTGAGATGCCGTCTCCCCTACTTCCTCACAGAAACTACAGTCAACTACAGTACAGCACAGGACTCCGCATGCACATACGGTGCTGTACCGATATTCTTCAGGTTCCATGCATATCAATAAAGGTATCTTCCGTTACAGTAAGAGGTTACGGTACTGTAGCATTGACCTTCTCCGTTGCCTCTGTAGATAAATTGATTCAAGTTCTCGCCGCATCATCATGTTGTGTACATTTTCATGCACGGCGGGAACATGTCAAATGGGCATATGACTACTGCTTCCTGCCAGTTGGCCTTTCAGAGCACTACTGTACAGTGTACTGTGTTGGCATCGCATACTGTAGAGCTGCGACAGCATTCATCATTCCGTCTCGTGTCGAATGGAGCGAATTCCGAAAGGGTGTAAAAAGTGCGTGCGTCTACAGGTGGTTTCATAGTCATGGGGATCGAGGATAGTCATGCGCACTATTACGGTAACTGTATTCGGACGCCAAACCGCGCATTGTATGCAGAATACGTTGTCCTGTGAGGCATGACCCTCCGGCGTTCTTTCTTCATTGTGCGGTGCGGTCGATTTGGATGACTCACAGCCGTTTGGCGCTCATGCGTACCATGCAATAAAATTGTACGGTACGTATGGATATTATTCAGCCGTGTATGATTAGGTGCCTGCATCCAACAAGACGTGCACCCCAGGTGTGGTCTCAAAGTCCGTCACGAGGGATGCGACTGAGAGGATGTTCTTGCGAAAAATGCAGCACGACCTTTGTGAGAAGCACGAGAGCACGGCAAGGACAGAGATATTTTTAGGAGGACATATACGTTGTAGCGTATGAAGAATCTCTGCTCAAGGGAAAAGAGCCTGTCAAATTCACGGACATAGACATGATTTGGTGATTTGCCTGCACTGAGTGCGCTGATAGGACGCTCGTGTTGTTTCTGTGTAGATGTGCATACCGTACCTTGTACTGTATCATACAGTACAAGGTACGGTAGATACAGTCTATATCCTCGGCGGTGCCTTCTTCCAAGGAGTCCTCAAACGGCCTTCCTATGTCGTTTTGAGCAGGATTGGTTTCCAAATTGGAAACAGCGTCTCCCGACCACTGCTTTGTACAGCACGTGTACCATTACCAACGGTAAGGTGGAAGCAAAACTCTGGCATGGCTGGCCTTTTTAAGATCTCTTGTCACCACACCGCGGGGACTGCTATACGGCGGAGGCTATACGGCGGAGGCTATACGGCGGAGGCATGCTGTTTGGCCTTTCTCATAAACGGGATCCCACAAGGCTGACGCGTGCACGTGACAGCGATTTAATTAATGGAACAAAACTCTGTCGTAGCCACCCTCAGAGCTTAGCTGTACAGTAGTGCTTGCAAGAAAGTGACAGTCAAAGTCGCACCATAAGACTTGCGCACTTCTGCCCATGTAATACTTGTTTTCCTCAGTACAAAGATGAAATGTCTCCGAGCGCAGGGAAAAGTCGTCCCGCCTCGCGATTCAGCGCAAGTGGTATGGCGCCGTCGTCGCTCTACATTTGTTGCATAAATTTTTGTGGTCATGAATCCGGGCAGGATCTAATTTTACGGGATGTTGCAGGCAGAACTACCGCTCGAGGATTTTGTCCTTTTGAGAAGAAAGAGCATGCCACTCGGTGAGCCCAGTGTCTTAGTGTACGAATTTGGTTAGGAGTGCCTGTGCTGTATTGTTGAGACAATTTCCGTGAGGGTGCCGCATGACGGAGGGGATCAGGACCTTTAGGAAAGAAAATATATTTCCCCAAGGTCCGCACTGATACGTTTCCAAGCGCCAGCGGTTGGAGTGCGGCTTGGCATTTTAGAATCACATGAGATGCACTGTTGTTCAGTACTCTTTGGGTACTGTTTACGATACAGTATATATCTCGGAGCTGCGGTAGTCGATAAGTGCTCGTACAGTATGGTAACCGTACGGTCCACGCTCATGGCTGTGTTCTCTATTGTGACCAGCAGCTGCCTCCGGTCATCGAACTGCTCGTTTTGATAAGAGCCATAATGTGCAGTGCATATTAATTGCCTACATGGTTAGTCTGCTTTCCTTCTACTGTACCCATGGGTAAACGCAGTTCATATGCACTGATGTAGGCCGCATTCTAAACTATTGCACAGCTACGGTAGAGAGTTTGCAACTGTATACATGTTGGTGCAGGGAAAGAAATTATAGAGTGAGAATCATGATGAGATGATGTTTGGTACAGTACGTTGGCATGGTGAACCCACACAGTACCAAGGGTACTACTAATCCGGCAGCAGGTACTACTGCTCGCGAAACGTATATAATGGAAGACTCTGGAGATTGAGTTATGTCTACAGTACTCTTGCATGAAGACAAAGATATTCGTAAAAATGGCCGTCTTCTCCACACGAGAGATAGGCGGGTTTCCGGAATAGGCTGCGTTGTACGTCTTTCTCACTTCTAGTGTCTATTGGACAATGCGCCTCATTTGAGGATTTCGCCTCATACAGTATGAGGCTCTTTTGCCGCGCCGTTTCTGGCGCAAAGAGGGAGAACTGAAAGCCATAGTACCGCGAAACAGTAACAGTAAGAGTAAAAAACAATGTCCAAGTCCCTTGAAGGCACCTAGAATGCACGGTATTTAGGAGGGTCTTTCTAATGCTCTGACAGACAGGAAAAATCCTCACAGTCAATCAAATGGCCTCTGCCACTTCAGATCTGCGACTGGTGCGAGGAGCGCACATCTATGCACTCGCAACAAGAGTCCTGAAGCACTCAGTAGCCACAAACCACTTTGGAATATCCTTTCACAAGACCAATGTTGATGCATTAAGGAATACAATAAAACGCTTCTAAGAGCATCACCACCGGTAGGTGATCAAATGACCAAACAAGAACACTTGGCACTTTTTTTCTAGAACTCAATTGGCTGGTGGGAATTTTGTGATTTGCTTCTTTGGTTATTTGATATTTCAAAAAGGACGGCCCCACCGGTCAGAACCAAATACTGTGTAGTACGCTCTTACTGACCCTCGTACTCACCCGTGTCCCCTCCTACGAGGAGTCGCAGTGACGGACTCTGAAGACGTTAACGGAACCGAAGCTGAACGTGTTGGGGTCCCATAGATGGGAGGATCCAGGGAAGAAGGGGGTAGCGAGCCTGAAAAGGGGGAACTCATTTTGTCATCACCGAGCTTGCGCTTGATGACCAACAGGGGGGATGCTCTCAGAGATGCCTTCACCGACCAGTGCGGAGCATCCCTACCGGAAAACAATAAAATCCGTGCTGGTCTTGTGGCATTTGAAGAGGAGCGATGGCGGGAGACTGCCGCTTGTTTTGCCACAAAACCCCTTCGTCATGTTTTTTGGAGGGAAGTCTTTTTGTCTGACCAGTGAGCCTTGGACAACTGGATTGTCTAGGGTACCAAATTACGGAGAGGCGGAACCTAATTCTTGATATTTGGTTCCGATATTTGCCTCGGAACCAAAAATTTGCTGATTTGGTCGGACCGGTGGGGATGACAATCGACATCAAATCATCAAATTTTGGTTATTTGGTTATTTGCTTCTACCGGTGGTGATGCTCTTAGGGAGTTTTATTGCGGAACATCGCAATAATTTTGATGGTGCTCCAATCGAATGAAGAGTCGTGGCATTGCGTATGATGACTGCGTCCAGGTTAAATATATCACCAAAAAATAAAAATGGTCCAGATTATTTGGGAATTCCACAGGAATTGGCCTGGATTCAAAATTACCATGGTCTAGTGTCTAGACGACAAGCAATTTGACCTCATATGAGGTCAGTCATGGCCTCATATGAGGCCAGCTTTTTTTTGCAAAAATATATAAATTAAATCGAAACTTTAAAACATTCAGTTTGGACACCATTTCTTTAACGTATACGCGCTCGGCAATAACATCTTGCAAAACATTGGGATGGCGGTTGTCAATGCACAGAGAGACTAAGAATCTAATGAACTATCAATGATGAGTTGACTTTTTAAACAGGCGTTTTGGTTTCGAAGATATCAACATAAAACGTTTTGAGGTTGGTCAAAAAAGGCTCGTTTTTGGGCATTTTAAAAATGGCTGGAGAAGACGTGCATATCTCACCAAAATCCACCCTTCCACAACGCAGAAGTCAACTGCCGTGTCGAGAGTATCTTTTTTCCATCTTGTTGAGCTAGCACAAGTCGAGAAAAATAAGTTGAAAAGTAACCTCATATGAGGTCATTTGTCACCTACACACTAGATTATTTGATGAGTGCATCCGGAAATATGAGCTTCAAATTTTCCCTGGCCCAGGTTAAATACTGTGATCAGGTGTACCCAAGGGTACTGTACATGGGAGATGCATGAAGGGCACAGGTTGCTCGATTCGCCCTCAGCGATCGGAAGGCATGTTGCATGCACAGATGGGGACGCGTTTGGTTGGCGACAAGCAAACGCGCCGAGTCTGCAACTCAGCGTCTCCATGAAGCGCAGACATCCGGATAACTTGTGTGCCTGGCCGGGAACAGTGCCTGCAGCGGCGGTCACGTCGGTGTGAACTAGTTTCACCGACGTGATTCGCCGACGGCATGCACGTATGAGGCGAGGGGGGTGGCCCAGTACGGCCTGCGGCGAGCGGGCGAGCGTCGTGGCGGGGCAAATTCAGGGCGGGGACACGGGGCGACGCGGCGGCGCGGAAGGCGCGCGGGGGCGCAACGACGAGGCGCGCGCGGCCACGCAACGCGCGCGCGGCGCGGTGCTGAGGGCGTGGCCGACACGTTGCGCGGGCCCCGGCGCGTCCGCGCCGGGTGCTGGCTGCTGGCTGCGGCGGGTCACGAGCCATTGGGCGCTGCTGGGCGCCGCATCTTGCATCGGCGTGCGCTTGCTTGCTTGCGCACGTTGCTGAGCTTGGGCTAGGGGGCGGGGGGACGGGGGGACGGGGGGACGCGCGCTGCACATGTACAGTACGACGGGAGGAGACGACCTTTGGGTGGGCTGGTACAGTGACTGTACTACAGTCCTCCGCAAAGTACAGTACCGTTGGTACTGTATGTTATGAGGTCCGGGTTGACGTCATACGGTTTGGGGTCATTTTTTGTAGATATACGGTGGGGTCACCCTTAAAGTTCAAGTGTTTGGTACAACAGTACAGCAACGTATAAAGTGATCCAAAGTAATACTGTTACTTTGAGTCCAACCGGACCTCCATTTTCCGGGATTACAAGAGTTTCAAAGATGTGACCTTTTTTTTGATTGATTTTGAAAAGGTGGACGCGTATGGGGTGCGTATGGGGTGCGTATGGGGTGCGTGGACGTGATCTGAGGCGATTTGGCCTGTGGACACTGGTTGCAGACACTGGTTGCAGACACTGGCTGTGGACACTTGGAGGCTGCAAGGTTGCAACGCCTTTTGGCTTTTGGAGCCTGCTGCCTGTGCCGCCGCCCTGCCACCAGAGGCTGCAGGGTCCCAGGGAGCGTTGCGCGGTTTACACTGTAAACTTTTACAGAGCCGTCATTCTACTGTAGCAAGGGGGCACTGTAATACGTCGGCAAATCCCTCGTGTAAGGACGTGTCCATTCCAAGGACGTGTCCATTCCAAGGTGATGATGCGTGGCAGTCGCCGGAATCCCGTTCTGTACGCCGCGGCGCAGGACAGCATTCTGCACAGTGTGCACACGCTGCACCGCGCCTCCCCGGAAGCATGCGGAGAGAACGACGAGCAGAAGACCCTCCCGACACCTCCCTCACCGCTCCCAAACGGCCCCCCCGACCCTGCCACCATCCAGCCCCGTGCCCGTGTGCCTCCCTCCCTTCCCGATGCCACGTGCCGCCCGCCGTCGAAGACACCCTCCTACTGTATAATCTCCACATGTCCCCGTCGCAGCGCGCCGCGCCGCGTCCGCGTGACGAGCTGAGCGTGT